AAAAATTCTAACTGTACCCCATGCACTTCCCTCAACACCGTGCCCAGAGCAGGTGCCCCTTGCCCTCCCCTCCCTGCCGTGACTGTATTTCTATGTATGGGGCAAATGTGTACATTTCCTCACAAAATGTAACGAGGTCCCATCACTTGCACATGAAGGGAACTTTTTTATGTCCTATGCAAACACTGACTTTGTGAAAGTCAATATTTGCATGAAATGTTGGGATGTCAAATCTAAACACACAATCTAAAGGTAACATGTATGATTATTGCTGATAAATATGTACACCTATCTTTGGTTATATTTCTATCACCCCATCAGACACATAACTATTATATATTTATGTGAATGTACAGTATAGAAAGTGCTGCGGAAATTGTTGGCAAAGTGTATTCATCTGCAATAAGTAAACAATGGACCTTGTTGATCCCCCCTTTTTTCTTTCACATCTTCTACCGCTCTCCCAATCCCTTTCCATAGTTTTACTCTCTGCCTCTACCTTTCTTTCAACCCAGCCACCTTAGTCCTCTCCCCATTCATTTACCCTATGTTCCCTTCTGGATCTAACAAAATCTCCATGCACTGCTTGCAGAGAACCTTTTGGGCATGCTATACTTATAGCCATGCTCGGGTAATCAGAGGCCTTCATGCAAAATCAGAATCAGTGTTAGTACTCTATTGATATGTACCTATTACTGTATGTACCTGAATGCGTTGTTGAGTTCAGGGATTTTGTATTGCTCTTGCAACATGGTCATTGTTGTATATTTAATTATTGGTAAGAGGAGATTAAGGGGGAATATGATCTCCATGTATAAATACATCAGTGGTTCATATAGTGAACTCGGTGTAGAGCTATTCACCCTGAGGTCATCACAGAGGACAAGGGGGCACTCTTTATGTCTGGAGGAAATTTAATCTCCAAACACGGAAAGGTTTCTTCACAGTGAGAGCTGTGAAAATGTGGAATAGACTCTCTCAAGAGTTGGTTCTGGCCAGCTCAGTGGATTGCTTCAAAAAAGGCCTGGATTCTTTCTTAGATACACAGAATATAACTGGATACTAATATTTATAGGTAAGGTTGATCCAGGGAATATCTGATTGCCTCTCGGTGGATCAGGAAGGAATTTTTTTCCCAGCAGGAGCAAATTGGATCATGCTTTGCTGGGTTTTTTTTGCCTTCCTCTGAATCAACTGTGGATATGGGATTATAAAACTTTTTATTTTTTTCTTTATGGTTGAACTGGATGGACTTTTGTCTTTTTTCAGCCAGACTAACTATGTAACTATGTAGCTACCTTGTATGTACCGTGATCATAAATAAACACTATAATTAGACCTTGTGATAAAATAAAAAATGAGACTCATCATTACACACCTTAATGGCAACAGAGGAGAAGTCATGCCATTTGAAAAACGGATTGAGCTGTAAGGGACAAAATAGAAATCTACCACCAGTTCTTTCTCCATGTTAAAGTGTGTGCATGGACAATCACTAGGAGTTTGTGTTTTCAGCTCCTCAAGGGTCATCGGACAGTAGAACTACCAGAAATTGGAAAGATGGCCCGAAGGGGCCACTGAAGATAGACAGGTTTTCCTGAATAGTAGCGGCTGCTAGTCACCCAAGCACGGTCTCAATCACACCAACATTTAAGGCTCAGTTTAGGGGATGTCTTTTTAGGGTTTATTGCTGAAGAACTTTAACAGGAGAGGGGTTTAGGGTCGCTGGATACTCCAAGCAATCAGTAATCACAGTAGAAGAACAAACTTCTCTCTAACCTTCCCAAGAACAGTTATTCTGAGGGTAGCAAGGTATGGCTAAGATGTCGTCTGCCCTGCAACAGCAGTCTATAAAGCAACGCCTGGCAACTGGTTCCCCTCTGGCACATGCCCTACTATCAGTTCCAGTGAAGTCTTTACTCACAGGGTCCTGGGAGTTGTCCGCCACCTAGCAGCCTAAGGTTAGTCCTCCGAAGGAAATAAGGATCCCTCTTTCAGTCCAGCACTTGGAGACAGTGCTCTTCAGCAAGGGTACTTCTTTGACAATTCTTTTCAGACCTTAAGACCAACAACTGCCAAGGCCCAAGCAGCAATCTCTTGTCTTTGGCTATCTTCCAGGGGCAAAAGACTGGAACCCTCCCTAATGAGGAAAGAACCATCTACTCTTGCTTCCTGTACATTTATCACCTCTCCAACCACCTTCTGGATACCCCCTTCCAGGCATTGGCTAGGGTATGATAAATTTTCAATTTATCATTTGAATCTCACTCCCTATGCTCTGGCAGCTTCTTCCAGAGGCAGGTAGAAGCAATCAAACTCTCAGCCCAGGAATCCTGACCAGATCCAACTAATTAACAACCACTCCACTCACAACAGTGGAGCCAAAAATTAAATTTACCTAGCAGCCCAACGAGGAGGGCACTACAAAAGTATGCAATGGCAGGCTTTGTATTTATCTCAAGACAGATGTACTTTAAGCTAAACCTATAACAAAATCTATGTTTTCTGTCTAAGGGCTCTTTTACATTTGCAGCCGACATTGCTACCCCTATGAAAAGTGATCCATGATGGTCAATGATGATCATATTTACTATTACATAAAATCATAGATTGTGTACCACTATATGTGGAGCTGTAAAAAAAGGTATGGACCTTATGTGGAGGACGCATACTCACAAAGTATTTGTACCCTGCAGTGCTTTCTCATAAAACTCATGATATCCCAAGAGTACAGGAAAGCCATAGACACATATGGATTCTTCCAATATAATGGTGAAGCAAGCCAGATGTCAGCAATAGGGACAGTAGTAAAGACTAATTTGCACAATGTGGGAGTTGATTTCACCCTTGTCATTGAATAGGTTACTCTTTGGAGGGAGGGGACGGGGAGGGGGGCTACACTGTTTTTGATCCTAAACAAACCCCCACAAATTAGGATTGCATATCTATGGGGTATATCAAAATTGTTCTCAAAACAAACAGTCTGTGTGCCATAGGTAATGCACTGAAGTGTCCATTGTATATTATCGAATGATCAATAAGCCTCACAAAGTCTAGAAATGTGATGTCAGGAGGTAAAGATCAACGAATAAATGAAAATGTATCTATATCTTTTAGTTCTGAATAGAGTAGGGAAGGATTAGAATTCCTGTCAGGTTTTTATGCCATCAGGCTCCGTCGGAGAGATTTCATCACTTCCTGTTTGATAGGAAGTGGGGGGGAAATTTCTCTAAGGACTCATGTTTCCAGGTGTTCTTTTCAAATGTCTTGAATGGAAAGTGCAGCGCATAACAAGAAAAGGCTGTATCTGTCCTGCCTTGCCTACAAACGCACTTCAAAAGATATGCTGCGACTAAAGAGAAACAGTGCATCACAAGCAGGTCTCTGAACTGCCATGTGTACTGCTCAGTTAAAGTAAATGTGATTTTTCTGACCTGAATTTGGCGTGCATTCCAAATGCCCAATTACATGAGAGAAAAGTAAAAATGAACCAAAGAGGGCACAACAGCTTAGTGCATTATCCCACAAATGTATTGAAAATTCAATGTAAAAACCACTCACAAGTTAGGAGTAAAAAGCACTCATCAACCAGTCGTCTGTGGCTCAGTACTCATAGACTCAGAAGTCTGCAAAACATAGGGGGGACTTCACCAGGGTCCCTGCAAACTGATGCATTAAAAAAGGAATCTCCTTCAACAATTGAAATCATTTTACTTATCTGATCCTCTGCTTCCTGGCAGATGGCACTCCCTCATGCTCTGGCAATGGACTGTACCATGGCGTCATCACTTCCAATGCAGGGCTATGGATCCTGCTTTGGTCTTGATGATGTCAAGACCCTAGACCGCTAGAGCACGGAAAAGACACCAGGGTGGACCGGTCAGTCTGTGGGGAGGAGTGGAGGATCAGGTAAGTGAATCATCTTTTATTGTTCCCCTAGACATAAATGAGTAATTAAATCTTGCAATCCATGCACAGCCCCATTGTAATTTTTAAGTTGCCTGGAGTTGAGCTTTAAGCAACAGAGTATTAGAACCCTGTAAGCTTTTTATTATTGCCTGTTTCCCTCACTTCCTGTCTGGTAAAAGTTTGTCTCCAGAACAGAATGAGAGTAAATCCCTATTACACAGCCCCAGATACCAGTAAACGTTGAGGGGGGGGGGGGGGGGTCTAACTTTCTAAACGTAAAAAAAAAAGACATTGTGGCTATAGATACTCTTTAACCACCTGCCTTACTGAGCACTTTTACCCCCTTGTTGCTCAGGCCAGTTTTCAGCTTTCAGCACTGTTGCACTATGAATGCAACATTGTATCCAAACAAAGTTGTTATAATTTTTTTGAGACAGATAGAGCTTTCTTTTGTTGGTATTTAATCACCAGTGGGTTTTTTTATTTTTTGCTAAACAAACTAAAAAAAGACTAATAAAAGACTGAAAATTTTGACAAAACAAGTTTCTTAGTTTCTGTTATAAATTTTAGTAAATAGGTAATTTTTCTCATTCACTGATGTGCACTAATGAGGCTGCAGTGATGGGCACTGATAGGCGGCACTGATGAGGAGGCACTGGTAGGTGGCACTGATGGGCATTGACATGCATCATTTGTGGGCATTGACAGGCAACACTGATGGGCACTGAAAGGCAGCACTCATATATGGCACTAATAGGCGGCACTGATTGGAACTGTTAGACAGCACTGATTGCCACTGATAGGCAGCACTGATAGGCGGCGGCACTGACGGGCACTGACGGCACTGACAGGCACTGATAGGCGAAACTGACTTGCACTGATAGGCGGCACTGACTCTCACTGATAGTTGCACCAGGGGCGGACTGACCATTCTGTCACTCGGGCACTGCCCAAGAGCCCGGGGTCAGTAGGGGGCCCCATCAAATGCCCCTGGTACCTTTTTTATAGGCTTTTTTTTAGTGTGGGGCAAGGACACTGGGGCCCCATGATCCCTTATTGCCCGGGGGCCCCATGAGTTGTCAGTCCACCCCTGGTTGGCACTGAAAGGCAGCTCTGATGGGCACTGATATGTGGCATTGATGTGCACTGGTAGACACTTATATATGGCATTGATGTTCACTGATGGGCACTGGTATGTGGCATTGATGGGCACTGACAGGTGGCATTGATGGGGCTGCACTGATCATCAGGGCACTGATGTCCCCTCTGAGGAATACCAATTACCGGCTCTCCTTCCCCTCACGCACTGTCAGCGTGGGGAGAGGACTGCCAATAACCGACATTTCCTTGTTTACATGTGATCGCTATGATTGGACACAGCTGATCACATAACAGAGTCAACATCATTGGCTCTTTACTCTGATCGGTGATCCACTGTGTCCAAGGGACACAGCGCACCACCGGCTGCCACGCTGCGCGCCCCCAGGAATGCGCATGCACAGTTAAGAGTGGGAGGACGTCATGCGCAGTTAGACTGGGAGGATGTCATATGATGTCATCCCAGAACGAGAGAACCATCGCCTGTCAATCATTTCCTTATATGGCGGGTAGGAGGCGGTTAAAGGATAAGTTCACCTTTGGAACATGTTACATGTTCCACCCATTTTCCAACCTAAAATTTGAAACCAGCGGGGCCATGTGGGGCTCCGCCCACGCAGCTGCGTCATTCATTCACAGTTTCCTGTGAATGGAGTGATTACAAGTATGGACAGCCATTGCGGCTCAAGACACATAGTTCTTAATGAATTACGAGGGTGCTGGTGAGCACTCTCAAAGCCCACTGATCATCCTGCTCTCACGTAACAGCCGGCCTGTATGAAATATAGGCACACAGCTATCCTGAGAGTTTGCGGGCGCCTGAGAGTGCACCTGTGATCTGCTGATCATAGGTGCAATGCTCTGCAGGCTCCTTAGAAAGAAAATAATAAATGCACATTTTTTACCTGTAAAAAATGTGCATTCATTATTTTTTTCAAAAGGTGAACTTATCTTTTAACCGCTTCCCGACCGCCCTATAGCAGACATACTGCTACAGGGCGGCACAGGTGCGCAAAATCATGTGTATATATACTTGATTTTGCATTTCTGGGTAGGGGGCGCGCGCACGCCCTACTCACGCCACCATTCATGGCTGCGGCTGTCAATCATCAAATCCCAGCCGGTGATTACTCGCCGACACTCGGTGATTGCCAAGCATCTCCAACGGGGAGGAGAACTGTGCGTAAACAAAACAGTTCTCCCTGTCAGCTCCTGTACACTGCTTTGGATGGCTGTGCACACAGCAAATAGTGAAACAGCACACAGTTAACCCTTTGATCGCCCCTCATGTTAACCCCTTCCTGCCCAGTGACATTAGTACAGTGTCAGTGCTTTTTTTTAGCACTGATCACTGTATTGGTATCACTGCGGATGTCAGTGACACCAAGTCAGTTCCCCCCCACTGTCAGAATGTCCCGCAGTCCCGCTATAAGTCATTGATCGCTGCCATTACTAGTAAAAACTTAAAATAATTTTAAAAATCCCAGTATATATACCGAAATTTGTAAATGCTATAACTTTCAAGTAAACCAATTTATTTACACATATTGGGATTTTTTTTAGCAAAGACATGTAGGAAAACATTTTTTTTATGATGAAATGTGCTTTTTTAAAAAATTTTTACTGGGCATGTTTCATAGCAAAAAGTCAAAAATATTGTTTTTTTTTTTTCAAAGGTTTTTTTTTTTTTCATAGCGAAAAAAAAAACTGCACAGGTGATCAAAATACCACCAAAAGAAACCTAAAAGAAAAGGACATAAATTTCATTTGGGTACAGCATTGCATGACCACACAATTGTCTTGTCAGGTAAAATAACGCAGCGTTTTAACGCAAAAAATGGACTGATCAGGAAGGGGGGTAAATGCTCAGGAGGGCAAGTGGTTAAGAAAATGAATGACTGTCAGCTGTGCAATAGGACAAATTCCCCAATAGAATGTAAGCTAAAAAGTTATGCAAAAGCATTTCAAACTGAAATAATTCCTTTTCCTGATTTTGTCACTGAATACAATAATATATAGTTAACCAAAAGTGGAAAAGTCTTTGGATGTCATCAGTGCGGAAATTAATGAGGCTGCTTTCTTCGCTGCAGCTCCAATGTGTTAATGTTGTTTACTCTTTAGTTTTTTTAATATGTAGTTCTTTTCTTTACATCCATGTGAAATGGTAATGTCAGACATGAATAGAGCACCGGGCTGAGAAGAGAGAAAGGAAGACTGTGTGATTCAGGATGCTAAAAAGAGGAAGGTTTGCTGCTCATAGGACGTTGTGCTTTGACAAGCTGACAGTAGGAATATTTTTTCAGAACCTGTGCTTTCATTTATAATTCATCCTGTTGGAAAGGCTTTAATGTTTTTTCTCACCAACTCACACTGCAGTTTCAGCAAATATAAAGCACTTAGCCATTGTGCACTGTCTCTTTCATTAAATGTACAATCCAGTCAAAGTTGAAAACTAAGCCTTGAAATGCATACAAGGAGAACAACCTACCTGATTTTACACTCAGGTATTGATGAAGTGCCAAATAAGACCCTTCTTCTTGGAGCCTAGAGCCCAGAGGCTACATAATTACCCTCATCTCACATCCTGGCCATCTATAATGCATCTGGTTATTTGTATCGCTCATGGCATGCTCTACCTACCTCCTTGTGAGTATTATCTCTACTACCCTCAGACCCCAGACTCTTCCTGGCACCCATTCACACCCCACTGTACTTCATATGGTGCCTTCCATCATTCAGGGAATACACCCCACAACCCCAGAAGAGTACAGTAGGACAGTAGAATCTTTCTTTGCGTGTAGAGAAACAACTATGGCCATTTTTCTTCAGTACAGTTGCAATGTACGAGGTGGTATCAAAAACTTTCAAGACTAGTTTTGTAACATGCCAACAGATGGCAGCACAAGGCTGCACACACAGTCACAGGGAGCACTGGCCAGTGTGCCAAAAGACATTGTCCTGTGTACCTTGGGAGCTGTGCAGCGGGTTCTATTCTAACCACGCACATTACCACATCTGCTATTTCATTATGGACAGCAAGTTAGAACAAAGAGCAAACATTAAATTCTGCGTGAAACTGGGCAAATGTACGAGGTGGTATCAAAAAGTTTCAAGACTAGTTTTGTAACATGCCAACAGATGGCAGCACAAGGCTGCACACACAGTCACAGGGAGCACCGACCAGTGTGCCAAAAGACATTGTCCTGTGTACATCGGGAGCTGTGCAACGGGTTCTATTCTAACCACGCGCATTACCACATCTGCTATTTTATTATAGACAGAAAAAGAGCAAAGAGCAAACATAAACTTCTGCGTGAAACTGGGCAAATCTACCACAGAGACGTTTGACATGATTCAGCAAGTTTACAACAATCATGCAATGAGTAGTTCAAGGTGTTTTCAGTGACACCCGTGCTTCAAAAGTGGAAGAACATCACTGGAAGATGACGAGAAATCAGGAAGACCTGTAACGAGCTAAACCCCCCCCCCCCCAAATTTCGAAAACCATTCAGCAACTTGTGCATGATGATCGCTTGAGAACAATCCACAACATTGCTGCCATTGTTGGTGTGTCATACGGAACAGTCCAGGCAATCCTCACGTGTGATTTGAACATGCATTGTGTTTCTGCCAAGTTCGTCCCCAGGCTGCTGACCCATGAGCAGAAGGAACTCCATCTGCCAAGAACTCCGTCAGTGTGCTTTGGATGACCCGTCATGTCAAGGATCATTACTGGTGATGAAACTTGGGTGTACAGGTTTCACGCAGAATTTCATGTTTGCTCATTGTGCTAACTTGCTGTCCATGATGAAATAGCAGACAAGGTAATGCATGTAGTCAGAATAGCACCAGTTGCACAGCTCCCGATGTACACAGGATGAGGTCTTTTGGCACACTGACTTATGAAAGTCGTGCTCCCTGTGTCTCTACATGCAGCCTTGTACTGCCATCTGTTGGCGTGTTACAAAACTATCATCAAAACTTTTTTATACCATCTTGTACATTGCATAGCAGCAATTATATTTACTAGTCCAGAGCAGATTTTTCTTTAAAGTGATACTAAATCCATTTTGTTTAAATGTTAGTTCAGGGAGTCCATATTTACGTAAAAAGTATAGTCTTCTTTCTTAAAGTGGTTGTAAACCCTTATTTAAGTACTGTCCCAGCTAAGTGACTGTCCTCAGGTTATACACAGAAATTAAACAAATCGTACACTCTGCATAAGTTGTACAGGCTGTGTTTACCTCCACTTCTTTTTTCTCTCAGGAAAACAGTTGTTCAAAGTGCAAAAATTAGTACGGCTTTAAAGGGAAAGTGACACTTTAAAGTGACACTAAACAATATGACAATGTCAGAGGTTTACAACCACGAAACGAAAAAAAAAAAAAAATCCATACGCATTCACTACAATCTATTTTTCATTAATATGTTTCTGCCTTCTTGTAAATTCCTCTGTGAACATACAAACCCTTGTTTGGGATTTGTAGTGGGCATAGCGTAGTTTCATAGTCCACAGTCCATAGTGCTCAAGAGTGAACAAGCAAGGGTGGCTACATTCCTACATACAGTGGGTCCATAGAGACCAAATGTAGCCACCCTCTAACAGGAAGCCGAATTACAGCAGCAAACATTGAAATGTGGAGATCTGGAGGAGGCTGAGAGCCACAGAAGGTACTTTGTTGAGTTAAAAATACATACTCAAATAGATTTGTTTAGTTTCATTTATGGAATCACCCTTCATGGCTGCCGCGACCCCCCTTCCTGTTTGCAGGTGTCTCCTTTTCCTAGCCGGCTGCAAAGGAGACAATACATGTGCGCTTCCTGACCAGGGCTGTGTGTGTCCACGGAAACACAGGGCGCCCAGCAAGCATTGCTCCTGCACCCTTCTCCCGGCTCCTGACAGACAGCTGCAGGAGCCAATCACACACCTACCCTCACCTCTCCTCTTCAACCAAGGAGTTCAGAGAAAAAGTGTAGCTCATGGAGGAGCCAGCATCAGTGACAAGGACAGCAGGAAAATGAAGGGGTTTGCACCTATACTAAGGCATTTGTTTTACCTTCACATTGTGAAAGTGTTACAGTAAACAATGCTAAGCCTTTAGTACTAATGTAATGCAAACTGCATGACTTACCTTGAAAATGTGTTCTAAAGAGATGATTTTTTTAACTTGCTAATTAAAAGGTTTGATGCAAAATCATTTTTTTTGGTTCCTCTTCTGTGACGTCTGTTTTTGTGTTACTGCAACACTTGTCTTCACACAGGCATGATACAATGGCATGGTACAGGCATGATACAATGGCATGATACAGGCATGATACAATGGCATGATACAGGCATGATACAATGGCATGATACAGGCATGATA